AACCCCAGTTGAGGAGCCCAACCTCATTTTGATTCCACCAAGCCCAAGACAGTCCAAGACCGGTTAGACTTCTTGCTTAGCACGTCATCAAGAGGAGAGCACGGGAAGCTTATCTACACCGCCAAAGGAAACGGTCCAAATCCACCAAGTCCAAGACAGTCCAAGGCCGGTTAAACTTCTTGCTTAGCACGTCATCAAGAGGAGAGCACGGGAAGCTTATCTGCACCGCCAAAGGAAACGGTCCAAATCCACCAAGTCCAAGACAGCCCAAGGCCGGTTAGACTTCTTGCTTAGCACGTCACCAAGAGGAGAGCACGGGAAGCTTATCCGCACCACCGAAGGAAACGGTCCAATCTTTGACCACGTTTCATGAAGAGCTCCCCAACCTCTTCCTTCCGTTGAGGATAAGTCGTGATCTCCACCAAGAATAATCTCTTAGCTGCGATAAAGAAGCCTTGAGGATATGTCATGATCTCCACAAGAATGATCTCTTAGCTGCTATAAAATAGCCTCCAAGCTGGTAGAAAAAAAAGACACACGCTCCATCAGAGACTTACAGAAGACGAACCGACTACCGGAGATTACTATTTTCTTTGATTCTCCATTCTCTCTCTCAAAGCTTGTATCTCCATTCTCCATACCTTTGAATCAATAAAATACCCGGCGACTGAAGCCATTGAAGAGTGGACGTAGGTCGAATTGACCAAACCACTATAAATTGTGTCTTCTTTAATTTTTTCGTTGATTTTATTGCATTTATTATCTACACTTGACAGGTGGTGTGCAAAACCATTTTTGTGCATCATCAATAACGAATAAAGCTTAAACTCTGCTTGATATTCTTTGTTGTGCTTTATGCAAGTAGGAGTTATGTTTTTATTAAAATAAAATCTTCCAAGCTGTCGTTGGATTAGATGAGACTGTGATTTCAGTTTGACTATAAGGAATGATCATCATTTGTGCCACATTTTTGCGTTGGCTTTTCTATTTTTGCATGAGATTTATCATTTTCATTCGAAGGTCTTCAAATCAGAGTCACCATATTTTGCAACTCCTAGTGAGATACAAGCATGCATTAAAAAGAAAAATGGCTAGAACATCGGGGTCATTTTTTTGTTCATTTCCTATATTTGTTATTTATTATTGTAGTCGATTTCCCATTGAACACCAGACAACTACATTTTGACTTTTTTCTCAATGAGATGAGCTTAGAGCATTGACCCAATGGATAACAAAGCTGAGTTAGCCTAAAAAAATACGTAGTGTCGCGTTATTTGGTGTTCATGTTGATATTGATCAATTTTAAATTTACTCATTTAAGTCGATTACATTAAATAAAATAATTCAATCTAACTTGTTTACTAACGTTGAACTTATTATCTGATGTCAATGATAAATTAAAAATCTATGTGATTTAAACTAAGTATAAATATTTGTAATTCAATTACCGTTCATGAAAAAATTGAATAATAAATGGAAGGGTCTAAAACCCTTGGATTTTGATCATATTTCACTAACATCCTCTCTGAGTTTTGTAATATCACTGTATATCCATGTAGTTCATATATGTGTAGTACTCGAAAAACTTCAAGACACGTGTCTTCACTATAATAGGACAAAAAACAATAATTATTAGTTGATATGGAAATGACGCTCGACGAAGTTCAACTGAATTGATATAGATAATAGCGACAAGCGTGACGCCCATTGGCGCGACCGCCCTAGGCGCGATGCCCTCAAGCACAATACCGCATCAAGGCGAAATACATTTCTATCGCATTGGATGTGACAAAATGGACCTTTCATCAAAGTTGGACAGAAATGGAATCGTATAAGTGTGGGGGGCAACCTCAGCGAGACTCGCCTCCCCCGCTGCGGGAATGGTATCCTCAACCTATTGAATGTCGTTGTCCGATTAACTCACTGGACTAATAGGTGTCTTCACTTAGAGACAGGGGAGTATGACCATTCTCAAGAGAGAATTGAGCAATAGGGGCGGATGAACACGATTGTCAACCTTGGCTTGGGGCAGGGTCTTGAATGTTTAGTCTGCTCGAGCATGCCTCCTAATGTTTGGCTCATTGCCCATTGGGATGTGTTTGACTAGGATCCGGAGAGACTCCTAAGGTAACTGGGGTTATTGGTTCGAATCAGCATATGAGATTATGGGACATGTGAATTGGTGGTTGAAGGACTGAAACTATGTGAGTTTCCTTTATTGAACACCTCGACAAAGGTCTCGAAGAAGAGTTAAAGAGGGAAAGGACCCATGATAGGAGTGCGCTAGGGGCATCGCGGACATAGCCCTTTCGAGGTCATGGTCCCACGGTGACCAGTTGCGGTCATGGACCTTAGGAGCGCGATCTTGCCTTGGCTGTTGCACCTTCCTTAGGCCACGTCCAGGTTGCGTTTGGAGAAACATCATGTCTGCCTAGTTAATGTTAGGATGCATAGCTCGTGTTAACGGTCACTGATATCGTCGCGGTCGAGGCTGTTGTGGGTTCTCACAGGTGATAGTGGGTCGCGGCTAGGAGTGTTTTTTTAATCTATTTTATAGGAATATTAGACATTTTGGTAGTGCTTAGAGCACCATTTTCTTTATTATCAACATTAATTGATCTTTTTTTCTGGCACTTGTGATCGTGTAACTTATTTAATCGACGTTGTTTTTTGATTTTGTTTTATCCTTATTTTTTCACCTTTGTCCAAGATTAGGACGATTCTTTCATTAATTATATGAAATTTTATATTTGGTCCCCCTAGAGCTTTGGTATTTTTTATTTGACCCCCTATTTTAAAATTTGTTTCCATCCATTGTTGAGAAGAAGAGGTCTGATGTCATAATTGGTCGTCTCAAGTTTTAACTAACATCGTCAAGAGAGGAAGTATATACATAAGTTGGGAAGGAAAGATGGATGGAGAAATATTAATAAAAGTAAAGATCAACGAGGTGGGTGTCACGGTCGACGTAAGGCGGCAATGAAGAGGAGAAAATAAGAGGGAAATAATAAAATAAAAGCTACAACCGAATTGGTCTTGTGTAAGTGTCAGTAATTGAAATTTTTTATGGGTAAACCTCATAAATGCTCTTTGAACTATGGTATTTATTTAAAATTACTTCTTGAACTTTTGTCTCAATTTGATCAATGAACTATTTAATACATTTTAATCGATCTCTTCCATTAAGATTAAACGATAATTGAGATAAATTTTATTAAGATTAATTATTAAATGAGACAATTTTTGTTAAGATCTATAATATAAAAGATAGTAATCTTTAATAAACCTATTCGATGGTTTTAAATAAACTCATCTAACGGCCACCAACATCCCTCTAAAAATCATTCACATTGTAGTGTACCTTCAGACATGGGTTACCTCTAGTTAGTCGTTAAATGAGATCAATTTCATTAAAATTAATCGTTAATTTGTCTCATTTAATGTCTAATCTAAACCAACTAAAACAAATTACATAATTAGGGAATAAATTGAGATAATTTAAAAGTTTTAGGAGCAGTTTAAAATAAAGATTATTGTCTGCCCATTTTTTATAGTTGACGTGAGAAGTATATGTCAACAAAGATGGTGATGTAAGATTATACTATCTAATGCATGTACAATGAAAGGGACTTTATAATACAAAAAAATCGTAAATCAAGAAACATTAAAATTCATTGGAAAAAATCATCATAATTTGTAATGCTAAAATTACTTCTTTTAATTGACAATTTATAAAAAAAAATTATTTCTGTTTATTCAAGCGAAACATCAACGAACCTAACTTTTGTACTGCTCTTTGATGCCAAAAAAAGTCATCAAATAGAGACCCAACACGGAATTACTTTTGTAAAAATAAAGTGAATTCTCTCTAAATTAAACTTTGTATTCAAAATTAAAGATGGCCTACTGCAATCAACGGAGGAAACCCTGTAAATAAGTTGGAAAGTAAGGGTATATAGAGAAATAATATTAAAATTAAAGCCTTAAGGCAGTATTGGAGGGGTAGAGAGAGGAGAAAATGAGAGGGAAACAAAAGACAAAAAATCTAAAGATGGAATCAGTGGGTCAACAATTGGAATTTTTTTAGGGTTAATTGCAATGGAGATTTTTAATGTATGAAAATTTGTCTCATTTTAGACTTTAATGTTTCATTTGCATCATTTTAGTAACAATTCATAATCTCTTGCCTTTTTATTTACTTTGATTTTGATTAATTTTTACAAAATATTTAAATAAGAATAGCCACAAACCTTGATTCAAATTTTAATTTGAGTAAAAGCAACTTTCAATCCATTTTTTCAAACTTATACCAAATTAAGTAAGATTTAAATTTTACTTCAAATCTTTAATGATCAAATTTTATTCTCTTTTAAAGATTCAATATTCATATTTAATATTATTTTAAATTTAAATTTGTCCTTTTTTTACATTTGAGTTTGTTTATTATTTTATATCAAATCAATCTTTTTACATAAATATTGGGTTGAATCAAAATTAAAGATGGTCTAATAATGCAATCAACAGAGGAAGCATATAAATAAGTTGGGAAGGAAAGTTGTATAGAGAAATAATAATAAAATTAAAAGACATAACATAAGGCGGTATTCGGAGGTGTTAGAGAGAGTAGAAAATGAGAGGGAAACAAAAGACAAAGTCTAAGATGGAATCAGTGACGACGTGTAAGGATAAACATTATAAATTTTTAATAATTTGAGGAAATTTGTTGATGTGAGAAGTAAATGTTAGCTGGATGATGTTATTTTATTTTTTTATTAATAAAGTTTCAAGATTGCAAACGGGTTTAAATAATAAATCTGAATAATGTTTGGTTTAATCATCAGCCTTTTAAGTCAGGGGGGTAAACGTTAGACCTTCCCCTCCATCCTCTTCCATCTCCCTCTCTAAGGTAAACCTTTCTTCCACTGTCAGCTGACCCAAACAGAGCAAGCGCCTCATCTACCATCTCTGATCTCTCTCCTATCCAAAATTCCAACTCAGCCATGGTGAGACTTGCAATGTATGAAAAGAATGCGAAAGCCAAAGCCATCTGCGAATCCGATGAAACCGACAAGTTGGAAGACCTAATCGCCGATTTTATGTCCGATTCCAACGACACGCGCTCCGACGCCATGTCGATTTTCGAAATCTGCGCAAATAAACCCGACCCACATCTCTTCGCTAACAAGCTTTGTCGCGTGCTCTCCTCCCACCTAGATCTCAACTCATGTAAAATTTCCGCCAAGCTCCTTAGCATGACTCTCATCAAAAAAAATTACGTGCCCTTCCTCTGTTTTCCTCCTGAAACTCAATCGACTCTAAAACGCGATCTCTTGAAATTAATTGACACATCCGTTGACAAACCTACAAGACCAATCAATAAAGAACTCTGCCACACTGTATCAGCGCTTGCAGCTTCTCTTTTACCTAAAGAAGAATGGCCCGAATTCTTACCCTTTTTATTCCAACTTGTAAAATCTGATAAAGAGAGAGCGTTTTTGATTGGTGCTCATTTAGCACACTATCTAGGGAAGGGACTGAAGGAGTTGTATTCAGTTAACTTGAATAAGGAGTTGCATTCAGGTTTATTGCAGTGTTTGAAAACAACAACAGAGGGGGAGGATGTGCGTATCACGGTGTTGGAGGCCGCAATTAATTTCATTCTACGTATAGAACAAAAAGATTTGGTCAATTTTCAGGATATGTTGACAGCGATGATGTCTACGTTGAAGGCGTTGTATAGTGGGAATGAAACGATAAATTTGGCAGGAATGAAGCGGACGTTTTTTAGGAAACAAATTGTGGAGATGGTGAAGACAATATTGCAGATGGTCGATGATCATAGTTTGAAGAAAGAGACGAGGCGTTTGGCCATTGAATTCGTTTTGACATTGGTCCAGTTCGTTTTAACATTGGTGGAGGTTGAGAGAACGACTCCCAGGCAGCTGAAACTTGGGACGGAGTTTGAAATTAATATGGAGGAGATGTGGGACGATAATGAGGAGACGGATAAATATGGGTCTTGGCAGGGGTGTGTGGATAGGCTATCGAATTTGTCGTATAGGAATGCTATTTTGACTGTTGCTTTGAAAGTGTTTCCGGCGTATTTGGCTGCTCCTAAAGGGCAAAAACGCACTCATGCCGCACTCATTGCGCTCTCAAAGAGTATAATTACATGGAATTGTCGGGAGGTATCAGAGCTTTGCTTTTCATATTTGATTTTGTTTTTACATTTATTTTGCTATTACCATATGGAGATTTTGGTTCCCAAAAAAAAAAAAATGCTTGTGACTTTTGTAACTATTCCCATCATTTTTTTTAAACTACTTTAAATTTAAATTTTTAATCACTTTTTTTAATTAATAACCATTCCCACCATTTTTTTAAATTAATTGATATCAAATATATTTCTGTTTTTAAGATTTTTTGGCTTGGATGATAAGTTGCATTCAATTTAATGGCAGTGTTTGTTAAAAGAGAGAGAATGGGATGTGGGTGTTGCAGCTTTGGGGGCCGCAATTAATTTCTCTCAGTGTTCGGACTTGTTGACTTCGATGCTGTCCATGTTGGCGAAAGTGTTGGACGATAGGGACGAAGCGATGGCCGGCGAGGTGTTGGAGTTGTTGATAGAGTTGGCGGAACCGAGGTTTTTGGTGGGGCAAATTGAGGAGTGGGCGAAGAGAATGTGGCAGATTGCGAATATTGATGATGTGAGCGTAGGGACGAGGCGTTTGGCCATTGAGTTCCTTTGGAAATTGGTGGAGGTCGAGGAGATAGCGCCTTGGCTGCAGCAGAATGTGAGGGAGTTGTTTGAAATTTTGATGAAAATGTTGGACTATATTTATGATGATGATCATAATGCGGATTATGTGTCTGCATGGGGGAGAAGTAATCATTGGCGTTGGAGGAGATGTTTGGATATGCTGTTTATTGCGGTGCATAGGAATGATATGTTTTCTATTGTTTTGGAAGTGTTGCCGGCGTATTTGGATACTCCTAAGTGGCAAAAGAAGTATAGCGCATTCATTGTGCTCGCAGCGAGTATAGAGAGTTGCCGTGAGGTATCTGAGCTTTGCTTTTTATAATTGCTTTTGTTTTTACATTTATTTTGTTGTTACCGCATGGTGTTTTTGGTCAAAAAAACAAAACAAAGGAGTTGAGTTTTTGACGTCATTTCACTTAATTGCTTTCTTGTTATTACTTTAATTTATGTTTTGTGATCGGTTGTCTTTCACAATTTATTTTCTATTTGTTTTTCATTACATCTCTCTCTCTCTCTATATAAAAATAATCAATTTAAGAATGAGAAGACTTCTCTTTCTAAATGCTTAATTACCTCATTCCAATTAAATTCTTCCCCCACTTCTTTAACAAATTTGGCGATGGCACGAGGTGCCAGTTAGTTTTAGTTTAATGCTAAGATATGTTCTAAAGATTTATTTTCATTTTGTAGGCACAGGTGAAGATAGAAAATTTGACACAAGCAGTGCCAATGGTTTTGAGTCCATTTCCAAATGCCCACCGTCGCGTGGGGTGTGCAGCTATTGAAGCAATTCAGCAATTACTTGAACATTTATTACACTCTCGCTTGCATGAGGAGGTTAGTGGGCTTATTTATGTACTTTATAAGTGCGTCCAAATTTTACTTGTTTTCTCTTAACAGAAAAGAGAAGCATTTTCTTTTTATTTTAATGAATTCCATTTTAACAAATTAATATGTATTTGTCTAGTAATATTAGAGTGAACCAAAATTTTATCTCAGAGGGGCCAACAATGACATAGACAAAAATTTAATTCAATGAGGTTATTCAATCGTCATTGTTAATGATAAATTTTTATTTATGAAAAACCTATTAAATTTAATTTTTATGTGTTGGAGTATAGATAGTCTAGGTTTATTAGGATTTATTTTTCATTTTTTACCCTTACTATGATTTTTATATTTTGTCTAAACTACAAGGATGTTTAAGTCACTCTGTATTATTTTTGGATATATATACAGGGTTCTACTCTTAATTTGAGTATCCCTTTTCATTCACAACTATCGCAAGTTGGTATCAGAGCCATAAACCCTAACCCTAACCTCCATCATAATTAATCCAAAGCTACAACCACCTAGCTGCCACCACCACTGCTCACCGACAGCAACCCAGCCACCGCCACAGCCAGCCACCTTGCTGCCTCACTGCCCAACCCTGCATCCAAAAACAACGAAACCATCTCCATAAACCCAGTAACTACGACAAGCAAGGCAGCGGCCAAGACCCAATAGCCCACTGCCCACCCACTAACCACCGACTGCAACATATACCTCCAATCCACTGCCATCACCGACATACCATCACCGAACAACCGACTGACCCAAAAATATATACCATCACCGACATACCACCAGCCACTACTAGCCAAAACCCAACAACCGACTGACCAACAATACTACCACCATCGACTGCAACATGCAACTTATAACCCAAAACTCCAACACCCAGCCACTACCAGCCAAGATCCCACTGCCAGCCAACATATACCCATAAAAAACCGACCCATATACCAACGACCCACTGTTGATACCCCACAAACAAAACCCAAAAACAAACTAGCAACCCATTGCCCAACAAAACCCAGCAACACCGACTGACCCAAAAATAAACCCGCGACCCACTACCTAATCCAACGAACCAGCCTACTGTTGGGACGCATTCTTCGTCACAACTTCGTGTTTTGTCTTCGTTCGCTTGATTATTTGGGATTGTAGGACCTTTTAAGAGAGGTTGAATCCTCCTCTCCATTGATATGCTCTTGATGCAGTAGATTATTTATTTATATTTATTGGATTTCTGGGCACCGTGACTTGAATATTTGAGAGCTTTCTGGACCTTCTTTATCTGTCACTACTGTTCGGCTGGAGGTATATTGTTCTCCCTTATTTTATCCCTCTATTTATCTTAGAGTTATTGTTTCTATCACGGGTGCCCTAGTATTGTTGTTGATATGACTACTACTGAGGGACTTGAGAACCCTACTGTTGACACCTCTACCGTTGAGACATCTATGGGTACTTTCACTTTTATGTTTGACCAGTATACAGTGCCTACTAGCACAGTTGCATTACCAGCATTACCGGGCATGATCTCTCAAAAAGTTACGGCACAATTGTTGAATGGTCGTAACTTCGCTGAGTGGTCGCGCTCATTCCAGCTTTTTTTAGGCCGTGTAGGGAAGCTTGGTTGGCTGACGGGATCTCACCCAAAGCCAGCTGATGCCGACCCTAGATATTCTGCATGGTTCTCTGAAAACTGTGCCATTCTTGGATGGTTATTTGGCTCAATGGAGCCCTCTGTTTGCAGGATCCACCAGTTTCATAGCTCTGTTCCGAAGCTATGGAGCGCATTATCAGAGATGTATTCTCAGTCAGGACGGGGAGTTCGTGTTTATGAGCTTTCTCAGGAGCTCTCATATGCTCGGCAGGGAGATATGACCGTTCAGGATTATTATGGCTATTTGACCCAGCGCTGGCTTGAGTATGAGTCTCTACGTCCTCTTGCTGCTATTCCGAAGATAGAGCCCGAGGGAGCAGCATTCTTGCATACTCGAGAGCAGGAGGATAGGATTCACAAGTTCCTTATGGGGCTTCGTGATGAGTTTGAGGGACCTCGTTCTCAGATCTTGTCGATGTTGACACTTCCTTCTCTTTATGAGGTGTATGGGATGATTGAGCAGCATGAGCGTCGAGTCCGTATTGCATCACTTCCAGTTGCAGCTTTGCCTCCTTCGATTGACCAGATGGCCCTTGCAGCTGCTGTAGGGTCCCGTTCAGGATCCTTAGTCAGGGATAGGCAACGCTCAGACCAGCGCCGTCAGGGCGCCCCAGATCAGCGCAGACGGGGAATTCCAGTCAATGTGATTATTGTGGCCGACCAGGACATCTCAGGGCTACTTGCTGGAAGCTCCATCCAGAGCTTAAGCTACCTTCTCGTAGTCGTACTGTTGCTATTGCTGAGGTACCACCGCCCACTACCGCCACTCCTGCTACTGCTCCTCCTTGGCAAAGTGATATGGATGCTATCACTTCCCGATTAGATATACTTATGTCTGCTCTGACTTCTCAGAGTCTGACTACTGCTGCTGTCACCACTACAGGTATATCTCGTGCCTTTCACGCTTGTGCCAGTTCATCTCCCCTTTGGATGTTGGACTCGGGTGCGAATGGTCACATGACAGGTGAGGCCCATCACTTCACCACTTTTGACGAGCCATTACATACACAGGTTCAGTTAGCAGATGGAACACATGCCCCTATTGTTAGTAGGGGTACAGTCCGTCTCCCAGATGGCCTTACATTACATTCGGTTTTTCATGCGCCAAAGTTGGCCATGAATCTATTATCTGTACATCAGTTAGCCAGAGATTTTCACTGTGCGGTTGTATTCTTATCTGATTCGTGTTATTTGCAGGACCTGAGTACCAGGAGGATTATTATCAAGGGACATGAGAAAGATGGACTGTATTATCTTGGCAATCCATCTCCAGTTTCACCAATTCCTTCACCTGCACCTGCTTTGTCTTTTTCTGTTCCTAGCTTGCATGCTAGTATTTTACCTAGTAGTTGTCGTTATGATTTTTCGTCACAAACTGTTCAATTGTGGCATGACCGTTTTGGACATACAAATTTTAAATATTTATGTATGTTGTTTCCTGCTTTGAGTAATGCTTGTGTTGGTGGTAAACTTGATTGCGTTATCTGTTCCCTATCAAAACATGTTAGGGCCAATTATATTCCTCGCATGCACCAGTCACCCAAGCCATTTGACCTAATACACTCTGATATTTGGGGACCCTCTCCCGTTACTGCTCTGTCAGGTGCCAGATATTATGTGACATTTATAGATGATCATACCCGTTGTACTTGGGTCTACCTTTTGCATAGGAAGTCTGATGTGCTCCCTATAATCACTCAGTTTTTACAGATGATTAAGACACAATTCGATGTCATTGTTCGTGCTCTTCGTTCGGATAATGCCAAAGAATATGTGTCTGATGCTTTAGTGTCTCACCTTTCTTCTCAGGGTATCCTTCAGCAACTCACTTGTCCATATACTCCTGAGCAAAATGGTGTTGCTGAGAGGAAAAATAGGAGTTTGATAGGGATGGTACGTTGTCTGCTTAGAGGCATGAGGGTACCAAAATCTTATTGGCATTTTGCTGTTTTGACTTCTACCTTTCTGTGCAATCGTACGCCGAGTCGTGTTCTTCAGCATAAGGCTCCCTTACAGGTCTTATTTCCTGAGCGGACACTTTTTCCGGTCCCCCCTCGTGTTTTTGGATGCACATGTTTTGTTCAGGATCGGTCTCCTACTCGTCATAAACTTGATGATAAAGCGATTCGTTGTATCTTTGTGGGCTATTGTCATCAATCTAAGGGGTATCGATGTTATGATCCTATTAGGCGTCGTATGTATCACAGTCTAGATGTTACCTTTCTTGAGCATATTCCTTATTTTCCTTTCAGTCCTTTGTCTGCCCCTCCAGTTGATGATACTCCCTTTGATTTTCCATTACCACAAGAGTCAGAGTCATTGATCACTATCCCTACAGGGTCATCCGTTTTTCCTCCAAAGGAGTCACTCATCCCTGTCAGTACAGAGTTACCAGTCTCTCTTCCTTTGCAGGTGTATGCTCGTTGTCCTCGCTCTCATCACCCTGCTGATATCCCCTCTACCTCAGGCGATGCAGGTAATACTTCTCAGTTTGTGAGCATATTGATGCACCTGTTGTTAGTACTGATGAGATTACAGGTGCTGAGCCAGTTACTTTACCTGATAAGATATTATCAGTAGAGGATGGTGATTTAGGGCGTCGTTATCCAAAGGCGTGATCGCCGTCCAGTTGATCGATATGGTTGGACCGCCAAGATTTTATATCCGATCTCTGCTTATGTTTCTTATGGTAATCTGTCTCTCACATTTCGAGCTTATACTATGGCCTTATCAGATACGCTGGTTCCTCGCTCTATTTCGGAAGGCTATGCGGGAGCCCCAGTGGATTCTTGTCATGCAGACAGAGATGGACGCTCTTCAGCGTAATCATACATGGGATCTTGTCTCCTTACCTTCAGGGGTGAAGCCTGTTGGCTGTCGCTGGGTTTACACCCTGAAGTTTCTTGCGGATGGTACTATTGATCGTTACAAGGCTAGACTTGTGGCGAAGGGCTTTACTCAGGTACCAGGTCGTGATTTTGGTGCTACATTTGCCCCCGTGGCAAAATTGACTACTGTTCGGTTAATTATTTCTCTGGCTGCGGAGTACTCTTGGCCTCTTCATCAATTAGATGTGAAGAATGCGTTTCTTCACGGTGATCTGGACGAGATTATTATATGGATGCACCACCGGGCTTTCGTGGTGAGGATGCTGGAGTATGGATGCGTAAGTCTCATCGATGTGAAGAATGGTTTCTCACGTGATTGGACGAGATTATATATGGATGCACCACCGGGCTTTCGTGGTGAGGGGGAGTATGCTGGAAAGGTATGTCGACTGCGTAAGTCTCTTTATGGACTGAAACAGTCGCCACGAGCCTGGTTCTCTCGCTTCAGTGATGTAGTCATACGATTAGGGGTTCACCAGGTGTCATTCTGATCATACCTGCTTTATTCGACGGAATACTTCTGGACAGTGTGTCATCCTTCTGGTATATGTTGATGATATTATTATTACTGGTGATGATGTTTCTGGGACTGCGCAGGTCAAGATAGACCTTGGGAAGGCCTTCGATGTGAAGGATCTTGGATTTCTGCGATACTTTCTTGGGATTGAGGTTGCCGTAGAAGCAGAGGTATTGTTCTTTCTCAGAGAAAGTATGTTTTGGATCTTCTTTCAGACACTGGGATGTTGGGGTGCAAACCGGCATTATCACCTATGATTCCAAACCTGAAGCTTACTGCTGAAGGTGAGGAGTGAAAGATCCGACAGTTTATCAAAGATTGGTAGGTAGACTTATCTACTTAGCCAATACTAGGCCGGACATTTCATTCGCAGTCAGCCGAGTTAGTCAGTTCATGCATAGGCCATGTCAGCCTCATCTTGATGCAGTTTATCATATTCTTCGGTACCTCAAGTCTTGTCCTGGACTTGGGTTGTTTTATGCATCAGGATCTCAGACCGGTTCTCTAGCCTGTTATTCAGATTCAGATTATGGGGGAGCATGTGATGGTCGATCTACTACGGGTTTCTGTGCTTTCGAGGGACTCATCTTATCTCTTGGAAGAGCAAGAAGCAGGCAGTTGTCTCCCGCTCGTCCGCAGAGGCAGAGTATCGGGCATTGGCACTTGGCACATGTGAGATTATCTGGCTACGATCGATTCTTGACGAGTTGGGTTTTCAGTGACCTCTCCATCCACATTATATTGTGATAATCAATTTGCTATTCAGCTCGCTTCTGACTCTGTACTACATGAGAGAACGAAGCATATAGAGATCGATGTTCACTTTCTTCGGGAGAAGGTCAGCAGTGGTCTTGTTACTCCATCGTTTGTGGGGACCAGTGATCCAAGTTGCGGATGTTTTTACCAAACCTGTCACTCTGTCTATTCTTCGGGACTCCGTTGTCAAGCTTGGCTTAGTTGACATTTTTGCGCCTAGCTTGAGGGGGAGTGTTGGAGTATAGATAGTCTAGGTTTAGGGTATTAGGATTTCTTTTCCTTTTTTACCCTTACTAGATTTTATATTTTGCCTAAACTACAAGGATGTTTAAGTCAATCGTATTATTTTTGGATATATATACGGGGT